TAGCATCGCTTATATATTTAAGAAATACTATTATTATATCAGTTATTCTTTTCGCTGTCATCGATCTTGCGCTTAAGGACAAATGGCGATAAATAATAAACCGACGAACTTTCGTCACAACACTGAGGTCAAAACAGGATTATGTACAATCAGAAACAGCACGCTCCACGAATTTAGAATATCGATGAAAATTCTAGATAATAGATAATAAAATTCGATTGCTAGATACGTGGAATTGCTTATCGGAGCACGAGACGTATCAATTTAAAGTAATGAAATAACATCGAAAGAGCACCGATATCACAACAATCGTGCAGAGACATGCAAGCTTACTACCTGCTGGCTTGAACAAATCGTTTCGCGTGGTATCGCGTGTAAATCGGTAAGTGTAACTAACCATGGAATTGCGAACGCTATATCGTGCTGGTGGGATTCACTATGACACAACACGCGACGAATTTGTATAAACCGTCGGCATCGGTGGTTTCTGCATACTGCATCACTCTTCGTACATATACGTTTGAGGTTGAACTATTATTATCACGAAAAACTATCATTTCTCAAAATAGAAAACCAAAAATCTTTGAAATACAGAGAGTGAAATACAGAGTAGAATTCGAGATAGAATTTTAAATAGCAATTACGTGATAGGTCACACGTTTTCGACGTGCACATCAAAACGAATGGAAGATTTGTAACATTATACGGAATGCTTAACCGCTTGGTTATATTCCCTTTCTCAAGATAACGCTATTTTCGAAGCTCGGTGGAATTTCAACTCGCGCACCAGAGTAGCGATGACAGAGAACAAGCGTATTACTATAACGAAAAGCGACTACCGTAAAAGATAAATGGCAACATGCCAAATTTATATATCTGAGGAGAAACAGCATACAGTAAGCACAAAGCAACGTTGAGAAAGTCGCACCTAATTGCATCTAATCACAAATACAAACAGCCTACAGTCACTGCCAACTGTAGTGAATGCACTCGAGCAAGTTGATGAATACGTAGACATTTGGTCCGATATCCATTTCAAATCAAGTGATAATAACTAAAAGATTATAAAGACTACATTTCATAATATATTAATATGTAGCACGTAATATTAAACGGAGAGTACGTAGAGTGCTTTTCATTTAGTTATTCATTAGCTCTTCTGTGCCAAATTGACACTCTATTGCAACGAAATAGTCACTGATGATCAATCGGGATCATCATGTATGAAAAACAAATGTAAAAGCAAAGATCGAATTCGAGATAATTGATAATAAAATGCAGTTATATGCAAATAAAGGCTGGAAATATCACGATACGCGGGGCAAAAATAAATTGTCCGAGAACTGAAATATCGAACGGATGAAATCGAAGGAAATCGTCAACGCGACGTTGTTAATGAAACACGCTGTGAATTTTGTAATTCCAATTTCATTCGTTCGCAATTATGTCAATTATTGACATGAAATAATAGTCACTTTCATTGTATCTTCGCATAAATATTAAATTTATATCTTGATAATTTTTTACGTTCAAACCAATTTAATGAACAAAACATTTATTAATTACTGTTATTATAGTAGAACCAAAAAAAGTATATATATATTAGCTTAACTTGTACATAAAACATTTGTAATATTTCGATAAAACATGCATATACAAAATTAATGTAGATGTTAGAGAGTTTATATAGTTTACAGTTCTCTATCAAAGTATCCGGTTAATTTGCTTGCATAAACAGATTAATAACCTCGACAAATTGATCAATTTAATACACAATCATTGAAATCAAATGCTAACGATTCTAACGTGATTTTCTTCGCACAAATAAGCCAACATTTCCCAGACGTAACGATAATAAATCCATTTTTATGACGGAACTAACCGAATAACAAAAAGTTTTCAGCTTGCAGCATATACGGGAGCACAAGAGAGCGATTTTTATCGTGATGTGTCACTTGGGAAAAACGCGATATAAATTCACTCGGTGTATTTTAGTAGCGAACAGTAAAAAGGTCCGTTCAGATAGGGCTATTGTAAAAATCGATGAAAGAAATAATAAATTAGATTATATTATGCAAACTTGCACAAAAAGCCGTACAAACGAAAGTCGCATTGTATATCTAAGATCTGTAAAGTGAAATACTATTAACGAAGAAGCATAATGTAAATATTGGAACAATTTATATATATAATGTAAATATTGGAATAATTTAACGATGCGGATAAAGCGCGTTTCGCTAACGAGTAAAGTTAGTGATTCATTAGTCACATTCATCGTCATTGATCGCTCACGTTATCATGGTTATCATAAAACGCCGTTCCGCGCTATTTACTTCCACAATTTAATGGTACCCTCTGATGAACGCAACTATTCGTGTTGCTTGCACAATTACAAATCCACATTATACACGATAATTCATTTTAATCTTAATAGACAAATATATTTTAAAAAATATGCAATTTTACCAAAAAACATTGTATTTATTTTGAACATTGTATTATTCTTGCCTAATGGTTTCCGGTCTACATAATTTCTTTACAATAAATGTATCTTGTTATATATTTTAATGTACATTTTAGCACACATTTTAACATAATAACATTGATTACACTGTATTACTCTTCCTATATTATCTTATTCTATTAAGACGTCAGCAAACTCAGCAAAGTCATTCAGTATATTAACTCAAATTAAATTATTATTAACAACAAAGTCCAACTTATATATATCTGAATTAGCAACACACAATATCCGAAGTTACATATAACTTATATATATATATCTGAATGAACAACAATATCCAAATATAGCTATTCGTATCTTTAGTATCTTACGTCCATCCTCATAAAATACATCGCTTAGGATTTATATACCGTCCAGTTAAAGTATATACCGTCTAGTTAAAGTCCTCTTTCGTCTTTGCTATTTCCCTCTTTTCTACTTCTTTTCTCGCCTTTTCTATCATCTTCATTATTTACAGTCCTTTGCCCTCTTCTCTTAAAAATTCTCTCATCTGCATTCTATTCTTTGTCTGTTCACACTCCGTTAACACTTTGACACGTACTCTCCTCTGCAATCTGACATATTCTGCATCTCCTATCCTCTTCCTGTCTCCAATACTGACTCCCTCTTGTTTCATTTCCACATCTGTATCTGGCTATTACGCTCCTATTCATCTTTTTCCTCCCTTCTAGACATTTTTTATTAAAAAACATTCCAAATAAATAATATTTAAAATTTAATATTAATTATATCAATATAAAAACTTTTTTATTATTTCGTGAGAGAAAGCCCGTTTGTGACAGGCTTGAACAGATAAAAATCATTTCTTTAAATTTGTATTTTACTTGGTTAATTACTGCAAGATTGCTAAGAAGAAATACCAATCGACATGGATATCCAGTGAAATCCAAGAATAAATCATAGCATTGATAATACTCTATCATCAATGTAAATTATTCGTTTATGACTAGAGTTTTCCTAATCACGCGAATTAAAACAACGCGTATAATTGTTCTTTCAACATTATTGCGTGCCAACAAAAAGTTACAAGGATAGCAATTAAGCGATTGATATGTATCTTGGAAAACTTTAGTTCATTCAAAATTTAACCGTATTTCATAACAATGATTTGATTTCCTCACATCTACGTGATAAATTAATCTTGTATATATAATGGTTGAATTAATAATAATGTGAAACAAAAAACAGTATTTTCCACTCGTGAACAAGAAATAAAAAGTAAATGTCAATTTCAATTTTGATATACTTATCCCAGCTCGATATATTTTGTCCTGTGACTCACGAAAAGCATACTCCTAGAACATGCTGTGCGCGTCACATCCGAGCAATCTCTTCAATTGCAATCCACCCGATGCGTCCACCAATATCGAGATATGAGGTACGTGAGGTGTGCTCTATTTATTTCCTTACGCTCAAAAATTCTCACCATAAAGACCGAAATTAGGCAGACACTTTTATTAATAAAATAGTTTGCTTATACATTGCATCCAGCGTTAATTATATAGTAATTAAATAAGTAAAATGCTAGATTCAAAAAAGAGAAATAGTTCTTATTCATTGATATGTTTCTTTCATGATTTGTTTGAAATATAAACAATTGTAAAATAAATATATAGACTTTACAAAGCTTATGACTCATTATTCTGATAAATACATGAAAAAAACCGATTCTCGATTATCTGAATAATAACTGAATATGTAGTTATACGAAATGATATGAAATCAGTGCACTTCGATTTTTAAATTAGGTCAAGTTCTCTTACGTAACAGTTAGTCTATATAAAACACTATAAGGATTCCATATCGAACTGACTAATCTTACAATGCTGGCATCGCTTTACTAATCAATTCGATAAAAGGATTCGATATAAGCGATTTGTCCTTTAAGAGAATACTGGGCGCGGTAACACAAAAAAAGAATATTGTCATATCTTTAATCGTTGCGTTAAGTATTCAATTCAAAATCTTCAAGGATATCTTACATATTCTTTTTCAATGTCTCGTGATTTAGCTTTATATAGCAAATATTTATAAATTATATATTTTAAATTATATACATATTAAATTATATACATATAGTATATACAATAATTAATTTTGAAGTTTGCAACACACTATTGAAACGAAGAATGAAGCTTTTCTTGTTAACTAATGAGAAAAATATCCATCAAGTCGATGAACAAGTTCTACTGAATAAGAATAATGCGCAGTGGCCTATGAGAAAAGCTTATAAACATTGAATTGATGAAGAACTATTCGGAAGAGTAAATTAATGAATAAAATTTATTTACATAGATATGCGACATGAACAATAGAACATTGTTACAGAGGATTTGTAAACATACATAAATTTATTTCAAACGCCCACAATTTCGTTTTCTCATAATTATTCAATATAAAGGAACAAATAGAACTGATTATAATCAATTGTTCTCTCATTGATTCTCCCTGTAATATAGTTTTCCTTTAGGACATCGTGAGTTCCTAATGGCGATGAACAATTAATGATAATAGATGATAATAGCCAGCGGCAATATTGTGTTTCGCGTTAATTACAGCTTTCTAATTCCGAAAATAATTATTTAATAATACAGAACACCTCTCATGTCTCATACTCGAAGAGTTTCCAATCGATAACGATATTATTAGAAAACGTTATGCACAAATGCAACTTACAAAAAGCTCTGTAATGTAGATTTTTATGCTGATTTCTGTCAACATTATATTGCTAGGAAGAGTTGCTAACAACAATTTTTTATCATTATTTTTTATCATCACTATCATATAAATTGTATATACAATTAATATTAATTATTCTTATTAATTTCAATCTATGATTCTTTTAATGAATATTATAGATTTGTTTAAAAAATATTGGCTTTAAAATTACAGTTAATAAATTTCAAATAAAAGGAATAAAAATTAATTAATATTCCATTTCAATACGTTGAGAAATGTAAATACACAATCCTGCGTATTTGCTATTTAAATTTTACTATAATTTCTTAACGATAAGCTTAATTAAGTATTGACAGTTTTTAGTTTAGATAAAATAGCGAATGTGCGAAGTATAACTAATTACGATCGTTCAAGAGCACCCAATTACTTGTAGCCGTACTTAAGTCGTACTTAAATCAAGGAGCTCGGTCATAATTAAATCAGTAACTCCGATTTTACGGTGACACACGATAAAAAGGCGAGATGTTTAATTCATTAGTATTCCTTGTCCGTCACACTCGCTCAAAATTCGTCCGATCGATCTCTCTTTCAGAATTAAATCTTACAGTGGAATAAGTAGAAAGGACTATTACTTTACACATATTTTAACTTCAACTTAACAGATATACATACATTATAAAATTAGACAATGCAGTCCGATTATGTTACATTTAGGCTCAGCAATCGAGAAATTATGCGAATGTGCCTTGGAAGACAGCTTGGCTGACCGAGGTTCCGTCGTAAGAGCTGCTAGATGTCTCTTAGGCTCAGTGACAAAAGTCCTCCTCCTGGCAGACATCGTCGTGGTCAATCAATTGCTTCATGCCAAGGATAAGGTCGCCCGCAGTCTCGGGCGTCTCGAAAGTGTCTCGAATTTCACAGAATTCGTCAAGGCGTTTAGCCAATTTGGAGGAGAGATGGTCGAGTTGGCACATTTAACGGGTGATCGTCAGGTGAGATTTATTTCTTGCAAATCAATATTTCATTCATGAATTTTATATTAATTTTCATTAGTATAATCGTGACTCAATTAAATTTTTTACACTTTATTTTCAGAATGACCTCAAAGACGAAAGGCGACGCGCGCAGATGGCAGCGGCCCGACAAGTATTAGAGAGAAGCACCATGATGCTGCTCACGTCCAGCAAGACATGTCTAAGGCACCCCGAATGTCCATCTGCTAAGGAGAATAGAGACACCGTTTTTTGCCAAATGAGAAGAGCGATGGATCTAATACATTACGTTGTCAAGGACGGAGTATTAGACTGTAGCGAATCTCAATCCTATTCGAATTCACAGGTAAGCTGTCTACTTCAAGAATACTTTATAAACGCTCATAAATGATGAAAACATTTACCACTCAACATCGTTAAAATTAATTTAATAAAGCTAAAAAAATAAATCAAATTGTGAAATTATACAATAATAGTTTTTTCGATATTTATCTATTCACGATCTATTAATCTGCGGAACAAAATAGCGAACTATTTAAAAATTAATATAAAAATACCCAGACAACATACAATGTCTAGATACAAGATGTCTTTATGATGTCTTTTAAATATCCTTTAGACATGTATTCCAAAAAAGGTCTTCATAACGTTTTTTAAACATGTTGTTTGAATAATGAAAAAATAATTATCGATACCAATATTCTCGCGTTAAAGCTTGCCAAGAAATACTATAATAATCGCAGTTGCCAAATAAGCATGTGCCTCTCATATATGTCTCTCATTATTATGCTACAGTGAGAATATATATCCATATAAGAATTAAAAAAGCAATACATGATAAAATGTTTCCGAAAGTCTTGGAAACGTTTCAAAGAGCCTTTGCCCGCCAAATTGTGATTTACAAATCCTAATATGCGATTTAAATGACCTTGAGCCGCGATCCATTGCCGCAACAGAAGTTGCAAACGAGATATCGAAATGAATCGTAATACGACTCGAGAAACCCATAAATATAATAGCACGTCCGGCCTGATGAAATCGATAAGCCGTGGTCGAAGATGGTATATAGGAGAATCAATGGAATATGTCCTACAAATATCAATGGATTACGATTGCATACCATTCACGCAATTGATTATTCATGACGATGATTATTTCGGTTTTGATAAATTTGTGATCGCTAATAATTTATATATTTTACATTAATATGGAGGTTATTTAAATATTTTTAAATAATCTTTCGTATTAAGTACGTTTTAATATATTTATTATTTGCATTTATATAATGAAAAAATTAAGCAAAACTACTGAAAGAAAACCTAAATAACGAGAAAATGGAAGCAAAATATGCGATAAAAAAATTCCACTCATGGAATTAAAACGAATTATTTAATGCCGAAATTATTACATACTCGTACATAGATAGAGTGTGTAAATCATAAATCATCCCATGCAAATTTTATGTTAAAATTAAACATCTATTAAAAATTGGATATAAGAAATTAAATTGTGGCAGTGCTGGCGAAATTTTGTGGTTGCATAAAAAGTCTATTCAACGGTTATCCAAGAGTAATGATGAAAAATTTTTCACCACAGGAGAAAAATTGTTGCCTCATAAATAACACGGTCATTATAAAGAATATGAATGGTTATTCGTATCATGCCAAATTGTGCAGTATTTATATATCGATACTTCGATATACGCGCGATGCTTTCATTCTGTACCAGATTTCTTTTAGCATTAAATAAATGAGGGGAAATATTTCGCATATTACTGACACTTCTGAAAACCTCTCGAGTCTTTGAAGAAACAACGCGAGAGATACTATTGGGTCACGTTGAACAGTCTTTACTCGTAGAAAAATATATCCTTACATTTTACACTCAAGTACTATCCACTTTCCATGCGACATAATCGATTTTGAAGTGATTGTAGACAACCTGGCCAAGTGAGACGGCGCTCCGAAACGTGACATCTCTAAAAGATTTAATATTATTTGTGTCATGTCTAATATTCGTCAGAATATAAATGTTTTCCAACACTATACTTATACTTATAAAATATGAGTGTACGAAAAAAATTAGACTGGTTATATATGTAATTATTTTAAAATATTTAAATAATTAAGATGTTTAGAGAAAGGTATCTGCTACATTTTTTAAGAAAAATATTTCTTCTACGACTGCCATTACTTGCAGAGTCCGCAGCAGGAAGACTGGGATAGCAGTACCGTTTGCTCAGCTTTGAAACACTTCGAAAGGCTCGTCGAAACAACGAGGATGACCCTGCTGGGACCGGGTTGTCGCGAAACACTTACATCAGCGCTTGAAACAGTGGTCGAGAGGACACAAGACTTCACCGACAGCGCTTATACGAGTCACGAGCACAGAGAAAATATTCTTCTGCTTTGTGATCGCGCGAAACTCGAGCTCAATACACTCTTACGGATCGGCAATAGTATGGTGAGTCAATAAAGTTTACTCTATTTTACGCATTTTAAGAAAAATGCGCGCGACTAAATATTTAATAATATTTAATAATACTTAATAATATCGTGTAAGAATGCGCAAAAAATCTTAGTACTATTGATTGTGACAAGCCTTGTAAAGTGAAAATAATAATATAATATTTAAATCTAAAAGGGATAAAAAAGTTAATTAAGAGCCTACGCGGTTGATGCGCTATAACGATAATATTAAAAGCTTACTAAAAACAAATCAGTTTGCAATAAATTCTATCTGATAAAAATGACCGAATATGTTTCGAATAATATAATCCGAATAAAAAATATTCTCTAATATATCTAATAAATCAAACATGATAAAGTATGAAATGATGAATATCGTATCCATCAGAATTACGAGGGCGGCGGGGGTTCACCTAGCTCGGAAATGGAACAAGCGGTGATGGGTGTGTTACGGGCGACTAGAGACCTTCGCCAGCAACTCAGCGCGACGACGATGGAACAGGCCGGCGATCTTGGCCAAGTGACAAAAGCCGGCCAGGAACTCGTGTCAACGATCAGAAATCTCGCGTTGGCCAATGACATCGACCGTCTACAGGAGAGCAGCGACAGGTTCCACGAGTATATCGAACACATTCTCGAAGTAAGCTCCCAGACGTGGCCCACGCACCGCGTGCACGCGTTCGCGTGCACGTGCATTCTAAGTCCACGAATAAGTCCTATCAGAGTTCTTTTCGAAGAATATTATCGAATTACGAAATCGACTTACATCTCTCACAGCAAAAATGCGCATGCCTTAATTTTGCATTGGTTCTAAGACATATTGATTATTAAATATAATACGTAATGATTACATTCATCATTTCTAGATTGCAATCAATTGCAGCACCTAATTGGATTTATTTTCAAGTCTAACTTTAAATGAATTAGATCACACAGTTCATTATTTATATCTGACGTTAACAATAAATCTCTGTGACTTTGAAGTGATTTAATACAATGCACATAAAAATTGGAATACACGGTTATTTCTTTATTGATATGTAAAAGTTTTTATTCTTGGAATTATTGCATATTATTCTTCCTTCTAGGTATGCAAACTTTTAAGACATGTTGCGCTTTCGGAATCGTTGCAAGTGTCGGCCAAGTTCACGGAGATCAACTTAAGAATATATGGTCCTCAGGTCGTAACGGCCGCACACACGTTAGCTAGGCATCCCACCAGTAAGATAGCCAAAGAAAATCTCGAAGGTATGTCATTTAAACGCTTTAATAACCCACTAAATTTGCAATAATGATTGCTAATCATTTAACGTTTTGTATATATTTCACAGTATTTGCTGACATGTGGCAGTGGCTCATGACTGATGTGACGACAGTAGCGAAAGATGTTTTGGAACTCAGTCAAAATCGGCCAGAGAAGCAGGTTTACATGTCTTTACCGCGGCCAGGGGTACGCATAATCATCTCAATAAACGATCTGTCAATACATTCTAGAGCATATATACAAATTTAAAAATCAAGAAAACCTCTCTACTTGATTATTTCTCAGATAGATATAATGAAATAAACAGTATACACTTTATTTTAGAAACATGGCACGACGAGCAAACCGCTAAAACCAGTACGGTTGGACAGCGAGGAGCAGGCAAAGATCGCTAAGGCAGGACTCGAAATGAAATTGATAACTTCGGAGATGGATGCCGAGACAGAAAAATGGCAGGAGAGCGGAAGCGCTCTAGAAGAGAACAACGACATCGTGAAGCGGGCGAAGAATATGTCGTCGATGGCATTCTCGATGTACCAATTCACGCGAGGTGAAGGCGCCCTGAAAACCACCCAGGACCTATTCACCCAAGCTGAGTATTTCGCCGAAGAGGCAAACAGATTGTACAAGGTTGTGAGACAATTCAGTTACCAGGTACGTAGCGGCCGGCTAATACGCCGATGTAGATCGAAAGAGAGATGACACACGTTTTTTTAATTGGACTGATGTTGATATATCTATATATCATCCTTACTTCTATAATCATTCTTTTACCATTGTTTATTATACGGACTCTATATTGGACTTGATTCCGCGTTCTTGATCCTCGCTATATTGGAAATCTTTTCACTTATACATTCGCTATTGAGTTTTCGTTTCTTCGTAAGTCGCAACGTCGAAGCTGCATCAAGTCTGCATCGAAAATTTACTTATATCTTAATTCATGCTAATATTTTTATAAATATGTAATAGTAGATGCTAACAATAATTATTGCTACTTTAACGTTCAGTAAGAGAAATTTCATCGTACGTAGAAATGTAGAAATATTTGCATATCTTTCATATCATAATATCTTCAAAATAAATATATGTTGATATATTGAAATACAAGGTGAGTGAAAATGTCCCGCAACCGGTGAAATATCTCAAAACTAAGCATTTCCGAAAGAAATGTTTCCTACCAAAATTGTAGGATTTTAAATGATCTATCTACTGATCTAATCAATCTGATCTTGGGTTCATTTTTCATAAAATACTTTTCGAGTTATAAGGCTTGAAAGTTACAACATCATTGGCATTAGCTTTACGCAAAGTATGATCCGGCCGACGACTAAAACCTCTTGAATGTTGTTCAGGATTATATCCTAGATAGAACATTTGTTATGATAGCCATTGGAAATTATTCCTCGTATTTTCATTTTTGCATAAATTCATTTTTACGTATAAATGAAAATAAGAGATACAATATTCAATGACCTTGATTTTGACAAATGTTATCCAGAATATGATTCTGAATATTCAAAAGCCGTCGATCGAACAACACCTTGCATAATGCTAATGTCGGCAGTACTATATAACTTCCAAGCTTTATAACTCGAAAAGTACTTTATGAAAAATAATTTTATTGTAATGTTTTGAAAAGCTCTTGACACCAGCTATTAGATTCTGGAATCAAATAGGGCCATTAAAAAAAATTGATGTGATCTTAATCTGACCTTGATGATGCAACCCAAAGTGAGATAATCAGACTAATCAAATCAGTAAATAGATCATTTAAAACCCTACAACTTTTGTAGGAAACATTTCTTTCGAAAATGCTTAATGTTCGAGATATTTCACCAGCCCTCTTTTTATTCACCCTGTATACTACTTGATTTCAATTGAATTTTATTATAAGCTTAAGTTCCGATTGTTTCAAGAAACGATTGCTTAAAAAAGAAATCAATAATATTTCGTAATTTTTTCAGTAGATAGATGATAAAAATTTAAAAATTAGAATAAGTAATTTAACTTTTAACAAGTGTAAAAATAGAAAATATTAATTGGAAGCGACCTAGCTACCTTGTTATTATTTTATTTTATGCTACTATAAATGTAGCTTCCAGACCAGAAGTAGCTTCGACATGCGTTATTAGCATTAGACATGTTCGAATTAACACGTTTGCTACCCTCTTTCGAACCCCTCCTAGCTAGGCCGAATATATAGTCACCTGAAATCACTTTGGTCTCTCTTTATACTCTTCTTAAGAGAAACAACAAGACGCCAACCTTGTAATATATTCTGTATTATATACAATCCTTTTTATACCCTCGCTCTTGAATGCCTCCATCCAGGTAACTTTTTCTCTCTTTACTTTAGACCCTTTTGAACTGAAAATAGATATCATTTTCGCCCTAACAAATCATTCTCGTTGCCATATATATATATATACATACATATATATTTATATGTATATATAGCGCTCACTTTCTCTGCAGCGTCAATGTTCTACTGTTGTTAGGTGTTGTCATTACATTTGTATATACTATGTTTGTATTGCTATGCAATATCACGCACGTAGATTTTCTTATTGATCATTACGAAAATTGTTTTAGCATAGAAAATTGTTTTACATAAAATATAAGTAAATATAAAGATGTTGAAGATATAAAGATATTAGAATTAACATTTAAGAAAGAACTATTTCAAGTCATCGCAAAAAAACTGACGTGATGATTCAGTATACTCATATGAGACTCTAGTATCTATAAGTATAATGGTATCTATAAGTATAAATTTACATTCAAAAACTCAAAAACTCTAAATTTTTTACTTGTATTATAATTGTCACGATTTAAATAAATTTCAAAAATTGGAGAAATTTTCGCGTAAATCATGTCATCTAAATTGTCATAATGAACGTTTATGATTTTGTTAGTAAATCTATTTTATGTACATACATTTACAACTTTTTTTGTACGATTAGTAAGGTGTGTTTTAGATGCTACGGGAATGCTTCCGTCTATGGACGACGTCTATGTGCATTGTGGTCCCTCTCCTTCCACTATCTGGGGCATGAGTATTATGTCTCACAATTTTTGCTAGCTTCCTTCATCATATGTTTTATCAAACCGAGTATCAAACAATAAATCTACATAATTATCATCAATAAATATCTATATAATTAAATATTTCAGATATTAAAAATTAAATCTTTAAAAAAATTAAAATCTGAGAAATTTTTCTGTTTTTTTTTTCGAACATTTGATCATTAATTCTTTGGTAACTAATTCATTAATATTTGATAATTAATATTGTCTCGAAAAAATAAAATTCATGAAGTAAGCTTGCAAAATAATAAGGTCTGTACTATTTCACTGCCACTTCACACAGTTACTTTAATATCTGTATCAAGAAATCTTTTACGTGCCGTTGAAAGTTTTGCATTGTGTTTTCCTAGGACAGATAGACGATCTTTCTGTTAACTTCTTAGATGTAAACTTCTAAGTATCTACGATACGTATTACAAAGTATTTATTATTAGTCATTTAATAAACTATCACAACAATAGAATCAAGCATCTTGCTTTACAGAATCTTTAAGAAATGCTAAATATATACAGAAGTAATATCGCAAGGTAAATATGTTCAAAAATTTTCAACGATTGTTAATCTACTATATTATCTATATTTATATTATTTTATGATCATGTGAATCCAGAGAGAAAATATAATAGCACATGCTGTAAATTATTTGTTTAAACTTATGTGTATTTAAATGTCTTAATATGAAAATTATTATTAAAAAATAAAATATAATTCTTAGAGACATATCGAAAATATAACATATCAAAAATAAATACTATAAAATTTTAATTTTAAATTATTTTGATGTATACATATATAATATATATACCAAATTATTTTATAAATTATTTTTAATCAATAATTAAATGCTATATATTAAATATTTTTATGTATTATTGAATCGTTGAAAATTAAATATGAACAAGTTTATTTTGCGATACGAACGAAAACATAAGTTTGTATACGATACGTTACATGGGTGCAGGTACCAGGTGGACCACACAAAAAAGACCTCTTGGAAAATTTGGATAGAGTGCCAACTTACGTTCAACAATTGCAATTCACCGTGAAGAATCCTACCGTCGGCAAGGCCGCCACTTTTACAAAGGTCGACAATGTCATACAAGAAACGAAAAATCTCATGAATGTGATCTCGAAAGTGGTCACAACGTGTTTCGTCTGCGCCACAAAGGTGAGCCATGAGAATACTTTATATATATATCCAATTTATTTATTTTCTGAATGAACGAAGACATGTTTTTACACGAATTTCTTTCATAACTGAGGTTGCCTGTATTTGATGATGAATTTGTACATGATATAAGAGAAAAGGAAGAAAGTATAATATTTTATTCATAATATCTTACCTAACTCTTTCTTGCTAACATTAAAACGTCAGCAAGAATAGCAAATTTTACATTTTACAGGTAACTTTAGCCTTTTATATAAAACAATAACATAGAGCTGGAATTATGAAAAATGACAATGAAAATTATTTATGAAATAACATGAATTAAGAGATTATGAAATTCTCTTCAGAATTAATCTGTGTGAATATTTGTTGTATCGAAATATTAATTACTATCAGCATAAAATATTATTACCAAATTAATGTTACAAATAATTTGTAATTTTCATATTGTGAGATCGTTTCAAGTATTCGCACAGATACCAGAATTGAAGAGCCACAGAGACATGCGTTCAGGTGACAAAGAAATACGTCTATCTCCTTCCATTCTATTCAATACCCAGCACAATCTCATCATGCCGCAATACATGGAGCTCAGCCCGACGACGATGCCCGGCCAGGCCGAAGAGGATTGTTTGTATCCGATTAGCCCGCAATTGTTACCCTCCACGAGCCCTTACGTACAACCCCATCCACTTACGACCGCGCAATTTCATAATATCCTAAAACCATCTCCTAACCTGAGCCTGTCCCTACTACCCTTCAATTACAGCCCGGGACATCCCAATGTCGGGCTGTCCCGGAACTCTGGCTCCTTCGTGCATTCGTCCGTTTTACCGTATACGACGCCCGGAACGCAGCAGCCACCCTACTGCCTACAGAATCTGCAGCTCCTCCAGCTGCAGCTGCATCATGCACAACTGCAGCACTTAAGACACGCAACGCTACCGAGATAATAGCAGCCTTGTGTAATACGTCGTGCTGTAGCACGTGGCACGTGACACTCTGTCGTTTCACGCGCACGCACGAACACGTCGAGAACACTACACGTTCTTCGTACAGGTTCGACCTTGGTTTCATTTCAGCTTCTTTGTTTTATTTCGTATCACCTGATTTCAATCGTGCTAGGATCCAATCGTCGTAATTTCAATAACAGATTTCCACTGATAAAACGGTTACTTTCTTTTTTAATGGATTTCAGAATGCATAAAAAACGAAAGGTCATTTTCGCGATTACGTACTATTCTATAATATATTATTATTCAACTTTGAACTTAAACTTGATTGAAAAATGTTTACGATATTACGACGAATTCATTTAGCTCCTGACTTCGCGGCTTATCAGTCTCTTTGCGTAAACTTTATCATAGCTGATCATCAACTTTACTTTTTGCAGCTTCTTTTTTTTCTTTTTATATAACTCGCGCGTGTTGTCGATTTCGCTTTGATTTAACAATATTCAGCGCGATCCATGACAAATCCATCCTCACCGACTATGTAACAATAATTTATTTGAATTAATCCACTTTCAGCTACTTTTACAGGAATGGCTACACTATGTATCTCGTAATGAAAAATTAAAATCTAATATTTCTTCCTCCAATAATCTCAAATACTCTGACAAACGAATATCATATCTTTATAGAAAAATTATTGTACGTAAATTTGTTGTTTGACGCAATAAAATAATATTACATAAAATGTTACATTGTAAATGTTGGACTAAAATTAATTTGTTCTATCTTTGTCAGAGTATATGATTCTTCTTAAATACACTAGATCACAGACTCGCCAAGTATGACGGCAAGAGCATATAAACAATGTCACACAGCACGTGACATCTTCTCGACAATATATCTCTAATAACTTTCAAATGCTAAAACTTTAAAGTAATAATATTATCCTTGAATCTCGCGAAAGCTCGTGGAAGAAAAATCACGTATGAATGAATTCCTCATGTAAGATATTCGGCGAGCTTTCGCTTTGCGAAGCAAATGACAAGAGCCTGGAGGGCTCGCTTATTATATGTAATGTGTGCTGATATAACAAGCGTCTAATCTTTCGTCCTCGTACGTCTTTTCAGTACAACCTGGATTTCCGAGGTCTGTCGGCGCGCGGGGCCGGCGGCTCGCCGTACAGGGGCGGAGAGGGCGGGGGAGCTGACGGCGACGGTGGCGGAGTTGGCGTCGACGGCAGCAAGACGGGCTCCGCCCCCGGCAGCGACCCGTCCGTCTGACAGTTTGGGATGGCCCGACGGGCCAAGGGGGACGCTCGCCGCACCCGGGTTTCCTTTCTGCTTTTCTAGGGAGAACCTCGCCTGCCCCACCGACCATCAAAGCGACGTACACGTCGACCGGATGTCGCGGAATTGTCGTCAACAACAACTGTCGGCAAGTACCGCGACGACCATACGGGATACAGTATTCGGAGGTGCCTCGCCTGGCCGGGATATGTTCGTCGCCGTTTTCGCGGAGGCGACGTATTGCGCGTAGTAACGATATTCGGAACCTGTGCGTGAGGAAAGCGTTCCTCCTGGACGCCCTGATGATTTGGTATTTGAAAGCAGGAGAACGGATCCAATTTAACGCCTTTGCGACGTAAAATGAGAACGATCGCGAAAGTGTTGACTGTGTAAAAGAATCTTGGTTGAAACGTTAGGATTGATCCAGTCCGCGGTGATACTCTCACATTTCGACCAGAGAGTATAAGCAGTTAATCTCAGTATTAATCAACGATTTATGATATGAAAGGGTACATGTACTTAAAATGTTGCAACGGTTCGATGTGTTTGGACAATCGTTTAAGGTGTAACGAAGATATACTTGGTCGACGTGTACGTTTCGCCAGATCGTTTAGTTTAACTTACTTTAACTTCTAATAATAATGAGAAACAGGTTTACACGCTTCTGTTGTTAGTGAGCAGGTCTCAGATGTACGCATTTTTACTCCAAGCAAAGTTTTGGAGCACACTTATTTACACGGTCGAGTTCCGCCGTGCCACGCGTGGCGATCGAGGCGTGGGAAAGCGGAAAATCGAACCAAGTTAATACCACGTGGAGTTGAGTGTGAAAGTGGATAAAATGTGCGCATCTATGTAGTTTACGAAATTGCTCTTTGATTCGATTACGTGATCCACGCTTTGATCGTTGGCAACATCACCGGTGTAAATGTCGCTATTAAAAATATCGAATAGCAAAAGCTGCTCGCGAGCAATGAATTCATTTTTACATCTTACAATTAGTAATACAGTGTAATTAAATTACGTTTTCACGTTTCAGCAATAAAATTTTTAAGAATGAAATTTTTAAATATTGCGGCGTTACATTTCACTGCTACTACGTTAATAACAGCATCACTTGCCTGTTACATTTGCACGCCGTATTTAAGAGCATTCCGAAACGTACATCGGTTTAATAAATTACAAAATTATAAGCTTCCAATGATTACGATTATATGAACTCTAAGTCAATTTGTTTAACACGCAGTACGTTTTGTTACGATGCTAAGCTAAAGTCGTTCAATACTTTCGGCGTATAAGGAAGAACATATCTTGTAACTACTTGGATCTCATTTTCATTATTCTCGTAGAGAAACTTTTCCGCCAATATACGGCTGCGCACAAACAAATCATTCTTCCATATCGAGAAGTTGGTGCAACGACAATAATTAACAAATGTCGATCGCAGTGCCTTTTAGGTGTGAAAACTTTGTCGGAACTTTGCCGGGGTTCAATCTCGAAACTCCCGAAGTGTTACGCCAACTTCGGTAAACAGATTATGCAGAGAGAAGTCTCGTATTATACTTGCAAGAAAAATAGCTCGTGCATATACATACATCTGCATGACTTTAGCGCGTGATCGTCAAGGCGTACTGTATCCGCGAGAAGCTTAAAAGCTCTCTCTGTATCTCTCTCTCTCTCTCTCCACTCAAAAGCAAACCGACGAAAACTAAGCAGCATATGAAAAACTACACGTTAACGAACGACTTTCCCTTCTCTTGCGTTGCACTCAATTCACTGGCTAATTAGAGAAATTTGAACAGTGGCGGTCTCTAAAGTCTTTATATGAGTATCTTTTACTCACATAAGAGATACTCTCTTTTCTTACACTCGTTAACAATTTTATCTGCCATCCTTCAAATTCCTCATAATATATCCACGTATCTAAAGATACTACAGTATTTAAGCACTGACCTTGCAATTAAAAATCTTTTTAGAAAACGTATCATTTTCACGCAACTACGGTATCTACGAAAAATAATGCAGTTAATCGAGTCTTCGTAGAAAAAAAGACTCTCGTGGGGCAGGAGGTCTATCGAGGGTGACCTGGGGGCGGCAGCAGGGCGGTCAGGGACGTACTTTGTGGCAAAAACGTACATTCTGTCACCACTCGAGATCGCAGGCTGCAAGTCAGCTTAATTTTCATCACTTGTACTAAACGGATTGTCCGATTTGACGATATTTGTAATCATATGAATATGTTAAAGTTCTCGTGAGAAAGAGACCAATGAGAATGTTGAGTTTTACGATTGTTCTCAAATCGGGCACTTCCGGGACATTCATCGGAAAAAAAAAAAAAAAAAAAAACATCAAAGTTCCTCGATGCCACAAAGAAAAATGAAAAAGAGCGATAATTACGCAGAATCACTTTTTTTAAATCGTTGTGAACCCTTCAAAGAAACGACTCGAACCATATGTTTTATCAATGTATCGAATGCGATCTATCGAGTCAATTGAATTGTAAATACAAGCGTGAGTTAAAGGTGAAAATAGATTCTCAAGCGCACCACGATGGTAGCACGCGTTCACGAAGAGCTCGAAATTGTTCTATATTCACGGGATAAAAATTCCAGCATGTTCGAAACAAATTTCTAGCAATACGTAATAAAGAATCCGAGTAGAATTCGCATTAGTGAACTGCAATCCGGCGATTGCAGTTGTCGAGTTCCCTTCGTATGCGCGAATGCTCGCAAATAAATGGCGGAAGCGAATCTCCTGCAGAGACGCCGGAGGTTGGCTCTAGCATGCGAAATCGCCACGATTGAACATGGTTTCACCACAAATAGATGCTGTAGAGATTTCACGATTTCTCCTCGATGTGCGGCAAGATTCACGAAAGGCACAAGGAATTTATCGGCCGATTCTTATCTTCTACAGGCTGAACATATTATATATCGTGACGATGTAACAATGATAACATCGGAATATGTTATTGTTGTTACCTTTTCCTTTGAAAAAAAAGAAGGAGAAGGTTAGACGAATCCGGTCGTACATCGAGATCGCGAGAGAACTGATGATCAATGTAGCAAGATAAAAGTGAATAAGCGATAATAATTTAATGATAATCTAGTATTATTAATGTTACAGCCGCTTTAACCGGTGGCAATCGCGACGTCTGTATATACAACATTATGCGTACGCAAACAAGATGCGTTGACCATTCGTGCATTTCATGTATGTACCTACGAGTAAATGCACGAAAGAATACACTGTTCTGCGTGTATGTATTATACAGAGTTTGCACAAAAAATAATCTTTTCACAACACGAGAATGTATATCCATGACGATTAGGCGTTCCAATTTGACGTTAAAACGCCCATTTTCTATTTCTCTTTCCTATTTTAACTTTTCATGAATTCCGATTTGTCAAAAGCGATAAATCGTTGACCGATCTATCTTCGGGCATTTTGGCGCTAAGCGAAATTCGTTTGCTGAAGCGATTTTGAAAAGATAGATACCTCATACGGATAGATCGAGATATTTTCATGAGTTCCGAGAGTAGAAATATTAGCTATTGCCGCTATTATCGCAGTTATCGAGGAATACGAGTTTGCGAATCGAAACATCGTAAACTGTAATTTGACATGGAAATTTTAACATACGCATACAATTACGGACATATACATATAAGTACACATAGATATATTTGCGCAGTACTTTTGTACAGACTCTGTATCATACGTTATCGCTCTATTTAGACTATTTAGAGTACGTTCATTAAAATAGTAAGTTCAAATTTTTTTGTATAAAACGGCACAAATATTTTCTATGGGGAAACGGAGGCGAGTTCGATCGTAAATGTTGAGTTTCTATTATTTTTATTGCCCGGTTCACACATCAGCGGAATAGATGGTCGTCGCGTTAGTTGATTGCGTTTTTATTTATACGGAAGAAAGAGAAGCTCGCGAAATATATTGTTAAATATATGTACTTATGAACAATTCCTATGCAATAATATACGATGATAATACTTTCTCATAAGTATGTGCACGAGAGAGAGAAAAAAGAAAGAAAAGAGAGAACGAGTAAAGATGAAAATAGTTTTAGTACACATTCGCATTCAAAATACATTCAATTCACTATTATATTTCTTCATACTTCATTTTTGTTGTTTTCTGCTTTCTTTCGTCACGTACAATATAATTCAATCGACAATTTACTGCAAAGAGATTACTAATCTTTGCTTAAAAAATTAGTAACGTTCAACCGCGAAGTACTGTTATTAATTACGTCAATAGGAACTTAAACGCGAAAAGAAACGCTTAGAGTTAGATCGAGATCCATTACGATCAATTAAGATCTCATATAATAGGTGCTGAACTCCCCACAGTGTCAAGTCCGATTACTTTTGCGTGAGCGTGTTGGAAATCGGGGTGTTAAAGAGTTCTTATAATAATCTATGTGTGTATGTTGTCCCTAATCCAATATAGCGGAGAGTGGGCCTGATTGGTTTGTGTAGATAATTCGGCACATTGCTAATAATTCTTACTGAGAGTGATCTTTGTAAAATTTATCATTACCAGTGTCTCAGATTACCTACATAGTCCACCAAATCCATTTTCCTCTATGATTCTACCTCAATTTTCGAAATTAGGTGCTTTAGATTTTTTCACGATAAAAGATTGTTCATAGCATACGTACGCGCATATTCGTCTCACGTGCGCTCCTAGATATAACATAAGGATATCCCAAAACTATCGCCTTTTATTTTAGCTGTGATCAATTTGGAGTCAATTTTTTCTTAATAGAAATTTTTCTGAGACTTAAGACGAGTTGCGAAAAAAGTAACTTCTAAAATCCTTGAAAAAGGAATAACTTTAAATTATCAAAGATTACGTCATTTAAGAAAACAGTGCAATAGTTCTGGAATAGCCTCTATAACGAACACCTAGATATGATGAAAAAAATCTAACAGCAGGAAAAATATTTCTTTTTCAACATAATTTCGATCAAAAACATTTATTCAAACATATAATGAAGGTAATATGTGGTATCGTATATTGGTTGTTAAAATGATTAATATCATTTTTTTTTTTAAATTGTCTATTTGTTGCTGTCGGTTGTGCTTATCATATCCAAAGAAAAGATAATTTAATTTTTACACAACTACACACAGAAGATATCCATATGACGGCTTGTGGTTCTTTGTGCAAATGATGAGATATTCTCGACACCAGAAATATAATAATGTAATAATACTAATAATACTACAAAATAATACTACAAAATAATAATAATAAGAATAATAATAATAATTGATAAAAATTATAATGATAATTAATAAGTTATAGTGCAAATCGTAATGATACATACATATACATATTGATAATAACGACTGTTATTAGTTGGACTATTTCGTGCCTGTGTGATCGAATATTACCATGTTACGGAAGTAAACTTCGTTTGTAATTCGTTTGTCAGCAAAACATTTTAGTTTACACACGTATATAAACGTATATTACGTAAAACATAAAAAATAAAACTCGTAATAAATTATTTATACACACACATATATATATA